CTCCGGGGCAGGTGAGGATCAAACTTATGCAGAAGTGGCTTTAGCTTCTTAATGCAGTGCTTTAATCTGCTGCGCCACCATGGAGGGCCTGTTTTCTAACCTCTTAAGGTAGAGGCTGAGTTAATTAGATTTTCATGATTGGTCATTAATTCATTAATCCTTTGGATTTTTCTCTGAGAACTGCTTTAGCTGTAGTCCATAAATTTCGAACACTATAGCTCAACAAGGTGCTCCCTTGATTGTTAGAACTTTGTGTTATATAAATAGGGGAAATTAACATTTTTATGATGCTGATGTTTCTCAGCCAAGAACTTTCCATTTATTTAAGATTTTCTTTATCTAAAACAGACATTTATTTATATTATTCATAGGTATTTATCTCTTTTAATTGGTATTTTAATGGATTTCTTCTATGACTTCTAGGTGATTGACACTGAAATAGATAATCATAATAATCTATATGTAATATTCAAGCTCACCACTTTTACTGAATTCCTTATTACTTGTAATAGCTTTGGCTTGTTTTCATGGGTTTCTCACATAAAAATCAATATGAAGAATATTCATTTTTATCTACTTTCTTCTAATTCTCATACTCCACCCCCCATCCCCCACAAAGACATATTTAGGTTAAATGGTAGAAATTACAAAGGACACCTTTGCCATGTTTCTGACTTTTAACAAGACTTGAAAATTGGAGATATTAGGGTAATATCTAAGTTGGGGGTTTACAGAACTATGCAATTTAGAAATAGAAAAACAGTTAGGCAATTGCCAATTTATATTATTTCAAATTAGTTTCATGAAGGGATTTTGCACTGAAATTGTCTTCAGGATCTGAAACTGTCTTCAGGATCAGACTCGAAAGCATAAAGAAGTCTACCTTTAAAATATACTCACTGTTACAGAGCTTAACTGCTTCCTTCCTTGACAGTTTGTCTCTTCAATTTTTTATTATAACCCTAACACATGCACACATGCTCCTTAAAGAAAATTTAGAATCTAGAGAGAAAACAGTGCTGTGTATGTGAGCTGAATGCCTGGTGGGGCGCCCACCAGCCCACGCAGCCTCGCCTGCCCACCACATTCACCGCAGCCACCTACCTGGTTCCCCCGAGCTGCTGCTGTGCCGCTCACTGTCCCCATCCTCCTGGCCATCTGCATTCTGCTGGGTGTGCTGCAGGCTCAGCTTGTGGCAGACCTCAAAGGCCTGGCCCACCGTGCGGACAATTCGCATCGCTTGGCTCTAGGGAGGAGGACAGAAGAGGGTCAGTAAAGGATGGGGAGAACCCCAGAAACACTCCCCGTGGGGCAGGGGTAGAGAAGCTGGCTCAGGAGAACACGGACAGATGGCCACGATGCCAGTGATAGAAAGAGGCAAACAGAAGAACCAAAGTTAGCCAGATAAGCGAGGACATTTTCCATGGTGGAAATACTTCAGAAAATAGAAACTGTCACCAGTTTTGAAACAATCAGCCAACTCAAAGGATGGAGCTAACACCCCAGTTCCTCCTCCCAAGTTCAACAAAATTAGTGGATTTGCTTCAGATCCGTTGCTAACCATCATCAGAAATTCCACTGGTGTGTCATTTCAGAGCAATTCAGCATCCTCCTTCCCTGGAGCTCCAGCCCCAGAGGCTGTGATGACACGGGGCTGCGAAAGCAAGGATGGAACAACAGAACCCACAGTCCACTGCCCTGGAACACAGCAGCAGCTGACCCACTGTAGTCTCTCCCAGGCTTGTGCTAAAGACTCCAGTGTGTCTGTGTTTTGGCTACTTCCTTTCCTTTGTTTTGCTATTTAACTTCTTCCTTTAACAGCCCAAGAATAGCGCCTGACCCTTGTTCTCAGTACTCAGCTACTTAAGCCTGACCAGGGGAGGGAGGCAAGAACTCTCCTGTGTGCCTCAGGCGACTGTGCAGGCTGCCTGGTGTTCAGGGCAGCTTCCCAAGTAGGTAACAGACCATGATTTGATAACCAGTTAGTTTTTACTGCTTCAAAGATGAGGAATGAATTAAATGTGAGCTCTACAGAGTTTCAGTGTTTGGGTTGAGAAGGCTCAGCATACTTTTACCCCAGGGGTCACCAGAGACTGCCATTTGTTTCACCGGAGCTGTCGCATCATACCTGAGTCTACGATTTATCACATTTTGTGTGACCTAGCTTTAGGTCCTCTGCGACCACCCAGGGACACCATGCAGTCCACCAACCACATTCAAGATCCTCAAAGTAACATGAGCCTCCAGCAGAGCTTCTCCCTAGCACAGGATAGCTGGTATCACATTACCAACCTGAGGTCATTACAGACAAAGGCAAAGACTCCAGGGTTTTGATCAAGCTTGCATGGCCTTGCTGAGGGTGAACACATGATCTCTGCTTTGCATGACACTGAAATTGATTCACAGTTACTGACTTCATGAACCTCAAGGGGCCTGGGAGCCCCTGTATGAACTATTGCTCTAGTCTACTTTCTGTTACAGGAACTCCCCAAATCACTACCCTTGATTTTTCTTCAGACCTGGTGTTTCTTCTATGAGCCGTCTTTTATTTCAGGCTATCAATGTCAAGATCAAAAGGTACCATGGCTAGGTGTCAACCACATGCCCATTCCAGATCTCAGGCTACTCCACTCCTCCTCATAGTCTTCAACTCCAACCAATTCCTGGACGTCACTGCTCAAACCTCTCTACACCCATGACTCTAACTCTGGGATGTCCACGAATGATCTCTCAACTGGAGCATCCTGATATATCTCTGTGTGATAGCAACCTTACATGAAGCAGGGTTAAACCCCCTCCCCCCCCATCACCCGGTAGGCAGAGCTCTGGCTGTTTGTGTCCAACCTTCACCGCCCCTCTTCTAATGGCAGCTCAGGCCTGTTCTCACATTAGCAGGGTGTAGCACCTAAGAGCATGGAGGTAAGCACTACCTACCTGAATACACAAAGCCCCCACCCTGAATACACAAAGAGGTGTGACTTAAAGTGCACAGTCCCGAACCAACAGGATTCCCCCAAGTCTTTCATACCTCCTTTGGCAATCAAGCTGTGCTCTGGTTAAGCTGAACCAGGAAGCTCAACTCCCAGGTGAAAGAAGATGGCTTCACCTGAAATGTGATCCTGCTGGGTCTCCTCAGACCTTTCTCTGCCTATTCCCATCAGTGGACTAAACGCAGTTCTTTTATAGCAAAACTCATTATGCTGTCTTCTGCCCGCCCAGGACAGTGTGCCTCACAGACCTTCTCCTCTCCCTTCCTGATTTTTGCTCTCCTTGGCATGTTTTCAAAGGGCAGAAATGGAAATTATTTTGTGTGCTAGAAATAAGGTAAGTTAAAATGATATGCAGAAATTAAGTATTTAATGTCACTGCTGTCTTACTTTAGATTAACTGGAAATATCACACTGAATAAATGGCCACGGAGACTGAGCTGTTGTTTTCCCAAATCTATCATTTCCAAGAGCACATACCCAGCCTCCCTCTTTAAAATATAGTTATAGGGAAAATTCCAAATGCATGACTGTGTCCTGTTGCTATAAAATCTCAAGTTCTGCACAGGCGGACGTGTGAAGAATTCCATCTGTGGTAGTCACAAGAACTTCCCTTAACCAGCCTTTTATGACAATATTAAAAAACTGAAAGGTGTTCAAATAAGTGTCGCAAAATCCATGGGATTAGACAAGGGGCAAGGGCCGTGTTTGTAAGCTTCTCTTTGGAAGGAGAATACAGTTGCTGGGAATTGGCTGTGGCAAGCCTGTGTTCCTCACATACCCTAAGCTGACTCATGACCCCCAGAACTGAGCATCTGAAGAGGCTACGGCTCAAATAAGGACGGACATGCAGAACACGCCCACCAACCTCAACCAATATCCACGAGCCCCTAGTGGCTCTAAGGCAGAGGGTGGTTGTAATGCTCACTATTTACACTTTCTGTATTTCCTTTTTGCACTGTAGTACATTTACAGGAATAAGTAATTGAAATGCAGACTCAGGTTCACGGTGCTGCCCTCTCACAGGGCAGCCTCTGCCACCCTTTTCATTTCCACCTTTCCTTGAACATAGTTGTCCTGCATGATCTTTATCTGCAACTGAAAAGGGGAATCAGGGAGCATGAGAGCCTCTCTTCTGTCATCCAAAGGGGTAAATACACATGGAGCACACTGTGAGCTGGGCACATAGGAAGTGCTCATGAAATGTTTTATCCTGCACGTAGGCTCACTGCATCAAAAGACATTGAAGGCAGAGAACAAGTCGTAGTTTAGGAAAGACTGGGCTGATTTTGCCAGAAACAGAAACACAGTTATAAATATGCATATGCTAGTCTGTAAGGGCTAAACCACCATCTCTTCCCCATGGCAACAGAGGAAAACTCCTGGGCCAAAGGATTGGCTTGCACAATTACTGCATACCAGTTTACACCTTCCATGTTAAGTGGTTTTGTTCTTTTTTTCCTTCACTCACCTTTAGTGCTGACCTTCCATTCAGAGTGAAAGGACACAGTTGCACGTTTTAGGGAGTGTCCTGTGCAGTGGATATATCATAGACCACACTGCTATCTGCTCTACAGAACGAGTATCTGCACATAAAAGAAATGCTGGATGGATTTAGGGTGGATTTAGACAGCTCCTCTAACTCAACTCATAAATGACTACTGAATTATATGCCCCTCGACCTCCAAGGCATTGCTCCTCTACCAGTGAAATTTCGAGTTTCGGAACATCCTATGGTGGGACCTTCTTATGGGGGAAAGTGGCTCAAAGGTGGCAAAGGGGCCATGTGACCCTTGCAGGGGCTGACTCATCCACTGAGTACCACCGATGCTGGGCAAAACCATGCTGATGCCTGCCTGTCTGCCAGCCACACCCCATTTGGTGACCAGGTCTCTTGGTGCTAAGCAAGGAAACACCTCAGAGTGCTGGAATTATACATGCAGGGACTTAACCGTTCATAAGCCAAACTCAGAGAGAGAACCGACAGGGAAGCTCGACAAAGGCCCCTTCACAAGTCCCAGGGAAGCAGCTGCTCACATCTTACCACCACAACAGGCCTCTGGAAGTGAACATGCAGCATTACAGGTCGGAAGGTGGCCAGGCACAAGGCTGAGCAAAGGCGTGGAATGTTGGGAAGGCAGCTTTTTCCAGCTCCAGGATTGGCCATTCTCTGGAATGTACTAGAATTTTTTTTTTTTTTTACAAGAGCTCCATTATACTGAATTATTTCTAGACAAATCCAGCTTAGTTTCACATAAGCCCCTGAAAGCACTTGGCCACATGGATCAAATCTTCTGTCCAAAAGCCAGTTTCTATGAGCAACCACAAAGCATTTGTGCGCTTTCAGTTGTAAAGATTAGGCTGGATAGGATTGCTTTGATGTTTTCAAAACTGGGAAGGAATATCTAATGTCACAGGGACTCTCAGCTTGAGGACAGAGGGCACTCAAGCTCAGGGGAATGCCAACTCCAGGCAATTTTGTGAACACAGAGCTGGAAAGGAAGTCCCGCCCCCATCTTCCCACCCAAATCAGGCTATCCCTGACCCAGCCAAGTCATCAAGTGAAGAAGCAATGCATAGCTCTTCTCTTTAGTTTGCCTAATGTGGGCACCACTTATTACCTAACAGGTGTCAATATTTGATGAAAGGCAGAAACCATTACTGTGAAAATTACACAATGTGTTCAGCAAGAGTGCGCTGTCTCCTGCAAGGCAGAGGCCTGTGGTGACTTCAAAAGATGTACATTGAAAGGCTGAGTCCTGCACTTCGATAGTCCATGGGAAAATTAGAGTCCACTGTGATTTTATTTACTAGTCTCATTGAAAGTGGGTTGGTTGGTCCTAGAAACCCTCTTGAGCATGCTATATATCTATTTAAAGAAGAAAATTAATAGTCTCATTCTGTAGCTGATTTAATAAGTAGCCTTGGACATTATTCCAAATTTCATTGTCTAAGAAAAACGTGGCTACACTTCACAGCTATGGAGATGAGTAAAGGTGACATCAGAACTATAAGCAACCTGAAGCATGTAGGTCCCAAAGGCAGTAGTACATGAATTTGGGAATGGTGACAGGAAGCACAGAGAGGGGGGTGGGGAGCACCCCTAGGAAGTAGGTTTTGTTAGGCAATCAGTCAGCAATCTTCTCTACTGTCAGCTCCCTTTCCATTTCCAGCTCTGTCTTCCGAGTACTTGAGATCTGTCAACTGAATGCTAGAGAATTCCAGAGAACTGATATCCAAGCAAGTCAGCCCCAGGGCAGTTCACAAGTTCATTATTCTCTCATCTGTCACAACAATAAAGTGCCTTTATCTTGATCTTCACCTCTACATTATCTCAACAAAAACAGAACTGGAGGTCATATTTCTTTAATGTGCTTTTTTGAAACTTAGAAAAGGTTTACTCTCACATTTATCATTTATAATGATGAAGCAAAAGAATGTATATTTGGATTTCCACACAGAGGGAGATAAAGGCAGTAAGGCTCAGGAATGGCAGAGGGTCAGGGTTTCTTCCAAAAGGTTACTGAGTGGCTCTGACGCTACCATCTGATCCAGGCATTGCCTTAGACACCTGACTCCTGCTTACTATGGGGGAAAGTTTTGTTTCAAAGTGAGGATGACTTTCAACACTGACAGGAGATGGTGGATCATGAAGTTTTCAGTAGGGTGGGTGTCTTCCTGCTCCTCTGCTGGCCCATGGTCCACAGTGCACAGAGGCCCCCAGAGAAGACTGAAGTAAAAGCTCAGTGCCCAAGTAGCCAGGTAGGTGACCCTGTGCAGACTAACTCATCCTTCTTGTAACTGATTTCCTCACTCTAACCAGAGCCGTCTGGACTAGGAGAGTTCTGAGATCTATGACTTCTTTATTTTGACTCCCCAACAGACTTTCTAAATTAAGGACCTACAATTTAAATTTAGTCCCTCCCTCTCCTTTAGGTCTTTAGCTTAATCAGGCAAGTGACTATTTTTCAACACATGATGTCATCATCATTCAAAAGCTACAGCAAGCTCTAAAAGGAGTTAAACTTCTCAGCTGTGGCCCCTAATCTGATGGTGACAGCATTACAGGAGGAAATGATTTCTCCAACCCAAACCAATTGAGCTGTGATTACAGGCAAGATGATTTCAAGGAGCTGCCTGTGAAGATAATGGGGAGATTCCTGTGGCTCCTGTTAATCACCAACACTTCACGCCCTGATTCGCTAATAAGTACAGTCACAGTTAATCAAGGCAGACAGCCACATCCTCCTGGGCCTGGAGAAAATGACAGGGAGTGACATCCACTCCACGGGAGAGGTCAAGAGACCATGCAAGAGGCTTGCAAGAGGCGGAAGGCCTTGCAAGTGAGCTCTATCACTCTCTTCCAAGGAGGAGAAACGGGGAGACAGATGCTGCTGGGAAGTGGCTGGCAATGGATGCCCCCAATGGGTTAAAGGACCACCCTCCTCTTCGCACTCCATCTAAATGGCACCATGCTCTCCTACAGTCTTCCCCTCCCTCAGCCAGGCTCAGCGACCTCCCCAGCTGCACAGCATCTACTGTGACCAACAATCTCGAGAAACCTTGCACCTGAGCTGATGGCTGCAAGAAACTCAAGCCCAGAGAGCCACGTGAGTCTTCTGTGGGTTTCCTGGTGTGGGTTAGTGGCATAAAGCTCTGGGCTAGGAAGCAGGAAGCCCAGTTTGAATCTGTGTAACCAAGGGCAATTTACTTTCCTCGGTCCTTTCTTCTTTCCAACTACAAAATGGAATCAACATTGACCACACAAGGATAAAAGGAAAGTCAAAGTGATATGGACTATTCAGAATCAAGGGCTTTTCACACTCAAGTAAGGAGTACAGTAGCACCTAGCTACAAATAGGTGTTGAGAACAGGCTGTTCTTTAGTTTTCTAACTTCCCGATGAAGACAGTTCAACAGAGACATGAAGAGTGTGAGCTCCTGAGGCAGTTTCTGGGTGCAGGTCTGACTGTATTTCAATGTGATGTGCATCCCTTCAGGCTCTTTCCCCATCAAAAGCACAACCACAGCAATGCCCATGCCTCAGTGCTGCTAGACGTGGAGCAGTGTCTTCTGCACAAGGAGGCCCACGTTCCTGATCCTACTGAGATCACTGCTGATCTCCTGAGGTGTGAGGAGACGCTAAAAAGACTTGGAAAAGACTTGGAGGCATATGGAGCAACAGACATGTGAAGAAGCAGCCACGATTGCTACTCGGCCTTGGACTTACAGCAGGAATTTGGGGAACGTGGAAGAGAGACCTGGAAGAGACGTGGGTGAGAGACCCGAGGGAGTCTGGCCAGGCGGCCTTTATCGTGACTTGTGCTTTGACTTTGCCTTTTCCTTCCAGGCTGGCCTGGCTCCTTCTGCTTCTTTCCTCTGGTTCCCTACCAGAGGTGCCTTAGATGTGGGGCAAGTTTTGGGTCTCAGTGTGTTTTTGAGCACTTCCCAACAGGGTATGGGTAACTTTGGGTGTTTTATTGGAAACTATTATCCTTTATTCTCTATATTGCATACTAATTCTATTAAGTTCTTTTCTATTGAAAGTCTTATGCATTAAGAGTTATTTATTTTTGTCTTTATGAGACAGGTAGCAGGATCTATTGTAATCAGAGCTTGCAAGGTCTGGGGGTGCTGGCATTCCCCCCAGTCTGCCTGCTAACAGAAATAATTCATATAAAGAGTATGGAACAACTGCAGGCCCACAGCAAATAATCAAATGAGATTACATATCAATATTTGACTTTAATATGGGCTAGCACTCAGCTAATCTGGAGCAGTAGATGGCCAGCAGGTACTATGCTGTCTTCCTGCAGTATTTTGCTGTCAAGCTTCTGATGAAAGCCCACCTGAAAAAATGCAGCTTGAGATGAAAATCCCCAAGATGGAAAGCCTGCTGACCTCACAGTAGGACTAAAGAAGATCTAGAACAACTCTAGAGAGCTGGGTACATGGACCGTCCCTAGAAAGTTGAATGATTGATCCATGTTTTCAACTCATGGAAGAGGCAGCCTGGTTTCCCCAGAGTAAACAATATCCACATCAGCAGCCATCTTGGGAGAGGTGCATGGGCACACACAGGCCAAAGCTGACTGAACAGCAGTACCAGAGTCCCGGCAGCAAGGAGGGTTTTCTCCATGACATCTGACTCAGGGCTCTGAGAAAACAGCAGCAGGGCCTGCAGGCTTCCTGAAGAGCTCTCCCTATTGCCCTCCAACAATCACCCCTGCAAGATACAATTCCTTGGGGCAAACAGTCCTTCCCCCTCAGATCTTTAGGAATTACCATGATATGCCAATAAAAACTCCTTTCTCAGCTATTATCTCCCCAAACCAGAAGCACATTACAAAAAGCACATGGCAGTCTTTGGAGGCTGACCAAGAGGTATACAAAACCTTACAGGCAGGCTCACACCCTCCCCAAGTCGGCTTCCTTTGCTAAACAATTAGTTCACTTCTCTTTTCCTGGCTTGCAAACCAGCCTCCAAGTAGAGATCAGCAGCGAGGGGGCTCACAGCCCAGGCTGCCTGGAGACAGTTCCTGCTGCAGAGCCGAGGGCCAGCAAAGGGCCTGAGAACCAGCTCTCCCAGGAGCTACATTCTTAGCAGGTGAGGGCAAAAGGAGTCTAGAAAACAGAGGAGCTGGAGACCAGTTAGTTCTGGGGGCTATGAGACATGGAGGCAGCCAGAGGCGTGTCCCTTCTCCTTGGGTCATGAGAACAAGATTTTGTGCCTCATTTCAGGTCAAAGTTCCAGGTGGACACTTCTCAGATTCAGCATGGGCTGACCCCACTGTGCATGCTGCTCACAATTTGATGGCAAAGCAAACAGAACAACTCCCAGTAGCTGGGTTTTGTGCTCAAAATTCTTCTGTGGCCCTCCCTGGTGGCGCAGCGGGTTAAAGCACAACACTGAGAATCTAGAGCTGCTTCCGCATGAGTTTGATTCCCGCCTGCCCTGGAGGTGACCACATGGCGCGGCAGACCTCTCCTGACCCACCCGCTGCTCCCCTCAGCAGTGTACTTCATTTATCTGCCTGTTCTGCTCCCCACTCTGTCTCTGGTGAAGCCTCTCACCACCCCTGAGCCTCTGGCCTGTACCCCAGTTCTGTATGTACAAATAAATAAATCTTTAAAAAAAAAAAATTCTTCTGCATGTCTCTCTGATGCTAGATACAGGACATTATTTAATCTCCCTGAGCCTCAGTTTACACATCTGCAAAACTGGAGGTGAAAAGTACTTGCCTTCACTGCACACAGGTACAAAAACAATAGCCTAAACAAAGAAGGAGGTCGCTAGAAGGTGTTTGGAAATAAACATAAAGGAGAGCCAGGCTTAGAGTTCTGTGTCTACAAAGACAGGCCTTAAAGGACACTAGAGGTACACACATAACATTTCCAAACTCTATTCCACAGAAAAGTAATTCCCAGGATATTTACATGTTACATGGAAAAAAGTCTGGTCCCATGGTCGCGTCAATTTGATAAATGTGGCAACACACAAAGTTAAAGGGGTTTTTGGAATTTCTAGAATCCCTGGCAAATTTAAATAGGGGGATTTTGGATGATACATGTTTTATTGGACAAGTTTTTAAACATGTCAACTTGGACTCTCCTCCTTGTTCTATAGATCGGGAAGCAAATACAGGAGGGTAGTGACCCACATAACATCACTCTGGGTTCTAGTGGAGAGGTGGAGTTGGACCCAGGTTTTCCAAGTCCCAGTTTCAGGGGCCCCTGGTGGATGGGCAGATAGGAAGCATGCTGTACAGAACTGCAAAAGCTGCATGTAGTTAAGCATCACGTCACCAATGAGCGTAACCACCCAGGACAACCGACATCATGTGCCAAGTGGAAACCAGCTTCCACGACCCAGTTTGCAGCCCATGGTTCAATGTACAGGTTGGTTAAGTTAGGAAAGGGCAGTGTTTGTTCTTGACCACAGCCCAGGTGAGCCTCACTGCTGGGCTGTCTCTCGCTCCCATTCCAGGGAGCCACAATCTTTCCAAGTACCCAATGTCAAGCAACACCAAGTTCAGGTGAAACCAGAGTTTCGTTATACAAGCAATGAGACAAGGCCCCCAGGTGATGCATAAAAACAGCCATCCCACATCTTGGCTTTCTAGCAACGGGAAGGGCCTCAACGCTGGGTGCACTCTGGCTTCATCAGAGGAAAGCAACACAACCACTGAGGACCCCCTTACCTTCTTCTTGGATTTGAAGACGTTACACCTGAAGATATTGCTGGCACCATCACGAGCGATATAGCTGAAGATCTTCAAGTCTTGGGAATCATGAGAGACATAGAAGATCCTAAAGGAAGAGCAACAGAAAAAGTGCACTGAAAATGGCACTGATTTCAAATACCCAAGAGCCCCTGGTTAAGGACACAGTAGAGTTCAGTCAGGTCCAGTTCTGAGAGAAAATCTTCTCACTGAAGCCACAATGCAAGTTGGCCGATGTCTGCAACAGACTGTGTAAACATCAACACTCCAGCGTGAGCCTCGAGACTTGGGGGAGTGAGTGTGGGTAGGACATGGATCCCACACTAGACCGTGCAGCAAAGCTATCCTGGTGATGTGTGTGCAAAGGCAAAATTGATCCCTTCCTTATTGGCACAATAAGCCTGTTTCCAGGCCGAGAAGCGTGGTGGAGTTTCCTGAGCCAGGTTCACACTTCTCTTCCAACCAGCGATGCTGACCACAGTGAGAGGAGCTCAGCACCCTAGGCACCTCGGTGACTGTGACACTGCACTTTCCATCCTGCCCCATAAGGCCCACGACTCCCCTGCATTCATTCTGCTGCTCAGCCAATCCCATGAAGTGCACGCTGTGGGCCTGACCCTACCCCAGCACCCAGGGGAACGGCAGCACAGGACAAAGCCCCCTCACTCTCTTGGGCTCACATGCAGGGGAATCAAAGAACAACAGAAAAGGAGTGCTATGAAGGAAAAGGAGGCAAAAAAGAGGAACACGGCATGATGGGATGGTCACAGGAGGGTCTCAAGGATTTGCATGACGTGAAGGAGGTGGGCAAAGAGTAACCCAGGCAAAGCACTGCAACAGTGAGTTTCTAATCCCCAAGGTGCTGGAAAGGGGATCTTGGTATCTAAGGAATGGGCAGAACAAGCCAGTGTAGTCTGGGTCAGAAAACAACCACAAGCCATATCCAGAAGGCCTTGAGGTGGGTGCTTGTGCTGGGTGAGCTGAATGGCCAGTGGGGCGGGCCCGGGGTCTGAGCAGAGAATTAGCTGATCCTTTAAACTCAAGGATGCCTCTCGCAGTGGGAAGGGGGCTGGAGGTAATAGAGGGAAAGGCTGGGAAAAGGTCAGACGAGAGCACTAGCTGCTATAGGTGGGACTAAGCCAGGGAACCCTCAGAACCACACAGTATGAGTACCGGCCACAGAGGTAGGGAAGGGGGTCCTCCGAGGACTTACTTTGAGGATCCAAGGAGATTACAGCTCTTAAAAATCACCATGCTGCCACATCTTTCCCTCAACACCACCATTACTTTTTTCTGAGGAAAGTTTCTTCCAGGTCTGACCTGTTTTAGTGGGAGTCAGCGCTGTGTAATACAACAAGCAGAGATTTAGCTGTTATCTAAAGTCTGCCACACACTACTGCAAGGCAAATCATGTAACCCTCAGAGGCTGTTTTGTTCATCTTTAAAATGGACCTATGAATTCCAAGACCTCGCAGGGTTATTAGGAAGATGATATAAGTAGTATAGTGTCCCCCAGACACAGCCTCTGGGGGACCTAGTTACTCAGATTCTCTCCAAGAACCCCATTAAGTCTAGGATTGGGAGGACACTCAGAAGAAAAGCAGGTGCACAGAAGTCAACACTTCTGGGAAGAAACCCAAGTTCACCTTGGGGACGACAGGTCCCTTGCTGAATTGTGCTGAAGTCATTTCCATCCATTTTACCAGTCAACTAAGACTAAATGACAACGAAAAAAAGGTTGTACTGTTTGTTGAAGGTGCTTCCAAGAAAGCACACCCAATGCTACTGACCCCAAAGTCATCCTAACATCACAGGGACAAGCCAACAACTGCTACTTCCCTCTCTGCCTCAGCTCCAGGCCTGCCCAGACAATCTTTCCAGGTGTGGCTCCTGAAGGCCTCTCAAGCTTCTCAGACTCATCTGAACTCATCTTCTCCGTAATTCTGCAAAAGTGACCTTCCTCCCACCTCAAGTCCCATCTGGACATGGAACCACTTGCCCATGGAGGCCATATGCCTGGGGACACCCTCCACTCCTCCCGCCCTCACTGCCCAGCATGGGTGGCAACCACCTCTTGGGGCCCGGGTGTCCTGCTGGCTCCCAGGTGGCCACACCGCCTCAGCTCCTGGGGTCTTGATGTTCCCTGGACTGTCACAACCCATCTCACCTGCTGAGCTGCTTCCTCACACACTCACTGCTGCCCGTTCCTGGCACTGCTAGCAAACCGGTAGATTAAATACAGAAATTTCTATGCCATTATTTCCTTCTTGGAACCATTCAAAGTCATGCCATGTCCTCAGGGTAAAATCCATACTCCTCAGCATGGGGTTTTCACTTTTCTGTCTGCCTCTCCTCCAGAGTCCCGACCTATTTAGCCTTCCAGAGCTAGTCGCCCCCTCCCGCCTTTGCCATCGCTGTGACACCCGTGGGCAGCATCCTTAGATGCCGGGTTCAGGCCCCTGGGCTGGCTGTCCCACAGCACGCCTCCCGCTGTGATGTTTATGCAGAAGCAGGGACCACAGCTGGTGGCCCTGGTGCCCGCAGGCAGCTCTTACTGCTCGTACTGTCATTAATAATAAGCACCCAGGATGTGGTCTGCCAAGCTCTTCATCCTCTCCACGGGAAGTCAGGTCCAGTTGTTCACATACATTACATAAAACTCCAAATTTTGAGTTTATATTTATCATGATGCATCACTGAGATCTGAGAGCCAGATATAAAAGTGACAGAGCAAACAAGAACACAAACTGGCAAGCCAACAAGATGTGGCGATGTGGCAGGCACAGGGAGGACACCACGCTACTGTCAGCTTGACCTTGATGGACAAAACAGCTTTCAACAAAGATGGTGACCACGCCGGCGCTCTCTGGACACTGCTTGGCTATATCTTGTTCAAAAATTTAATGCATTCTGAGTAAAGATAAATAACCCCTAGCCAACCCAAAAGTCACCTAGCTAGAGCACAGAAGTTTGCACCAACACAGCTCAAAAGCTGAAACCTTTTCCATGTGACCTAATTCACCAACAAATGAATAATACAACACAGTGAAGCCTTAGGCCCATACTCCCAGGTTTAGAAATGTAATGCAAGAATCCTTATTTCCCCATACCTTGGTTTTCTCGAGAATTGTGATTGTGTATAGGGGTGGGAGAGGAGAAAGACCACCACCAGCACTCAAGACTAAGGGAAGGGTTTCCTTTCTTTCCTTCATCTTTATCCTTAAGTGTAAAGCGCTGTCGATTCTGTCTCCAAAAGTACCTCAATTTTCTCCACTTGCAGTGTAATTATCAAGAGCAAGATAGTTCACATAATGTTAACAGTGTCTCCTAAGGTTTTGCTTCCCCTTCAAATATCTTACAACTTCCTGTTTTTATTTCAAAATATGCAGAATTATAAATTTCATGTACTAATGCAATTGTTAGTCTTTTAAAGCCAGAGCAATGAACTTTTCTGCAGACTGTTATATCCATCGACTTACTATAAATGCCTGAAATAAAAATTTCTTGGAGAAATGGGACTTGGGTTTACATCATGTTAGAATTCAGGTTATCATGTTAGAATAATAAAAGAACCACTAGACCAAACATCAACAACATCCTTTCTGGACTATTAATCTCTAGGCAAACTTGTTTCTCTTAGGAGCACAGGGAGGAAAAAAAAGAAAAGAGAGATTTGTGTGGTCATCTGGCCTGGACCCAACCCCACAAGCTGGGGAGTCAGGATTTGTGGACAATGGGAAATTCGCTCCCTGGGAGGGTATCCTGCCCATAGATTATAGCACGTCAGCGGGAGAAAATGCTTGAAACATTGGCTCTGGCAGAGGGAGACCAGACTAGGGGCTCAGACCCTGGCTCCACTGTGATATCCTGGTGGGTATTTCCCTTGTGAACTGGGGTGGTCTCAGTACTGTTACTAGTGCTCCTGGGGCCTAAAGAATGACTTCCTGCAGCAAAAGGAGCCCAGTGAGTGGCTCGCACAGGGACTAGCCTGGGAGCCTTTGGTGGTCTTACACAACAGGCTGATCCTTCTTGGAAAAGGCCAAGTATTTGAATATTTGGAAACCACCCCCAAGTTTCTACTTCTTTCTAATTTAAAGTGACCGACACCCCCCCCCCCTTTGTTGAGCTCAACAAAGCTCACCTTTCAGCCCCCTTATTGTCTGCAGGTTACTGCTGCACAAGTCCAGTGGAAAGGGAATTATCTGGGTTCGAGTCTCAGCTTTACCTCTTCCTAGTTGCTGGCCATAGGCCAACTCTTCATGTACATGACCCTTTCGTTCATCTAAAATGGAATATTCATAGAATGAAGCATTAAGACAGGAGCAGAGCTGTGTGGGAAGTGGCTGCTCAGTGACTTTGAGTCTGTCTTCCTTGCTGCCCTCTGATGCACGTATGCTGACTCACCAATGGCACTTCCAGTGCAGCTCACATCAGGTGGTATATCTGGGTCTGGGTGGATTCTTTCTATGCCTAGAACTTGATGTGTTTTTTCCTAAAGACTTTTATTTCTGCATACAAGAACTGGGGTAGAGCACAGAGGTGCAGGGTGGGGGGTGGGAGGGGGGGAGGGAGGAGTGAGGGGATTCACCAGAGATAGCATGGGGAGCAGAACAGGCAGGAAAGGAGAGGTCTGCTGTGCCAGGTGGATCAGCTCCTTGGCTGGATATTGAACTCATGCTACAGTGGCTGCAGATAACTTTGTAGTGCTGTGCTTTAACCATTGTGCCACAAGGAAGGGCTCGCTGTGATTTTTTTTTCTTTAATCATAGTATTCACTGCTGGTTCACTATGGCCAACACCAAGTTCAAAGTCAATTTGCTTGTCTACTCTTGAGGCAGATTTTTAGTGGAAGTAGCGTTGGTTTTCAACATTAGCTATGTCCAGGCAGATTTCTGAAGCAATTGTAAAGTTGCTTTCTCAGGCTGCCTCCTCCTGATTACTTTTCCAAGTCCTCACACACCAGCTGCTTAATGACCTCTGTCAGAACCCTGCCCAGGGGCAAAGACAAGGCCACTGATCTGTGGCCCTCAAACCCAGACCTCCCCACTTTCCAAAAAGTGGGGAGCTTTATTCCTGTCATCTTCCTGT